CGCTGTGACATCTTTCTCATTATTTAGTTTTTACGATCTTGTTAATAATGGTGAATTAGTCAAATGCAGAAATGGCGGAAATGCATTACGTATATGGCCTTGCCGACAGTAATGGTGAGCAAGCCAGACGGATTTATCACCAGAGATATCCCGATCGTGCTTTGCCAGATAGTCGAACCTTTTCTAATATTCATCGACGTCTTGTTGAAACTGGTTCTGTCCGAAAAGGAACATCTGAAGGTAGACCTATAAGTGTGAGAACACCTGAAATTGAGGAAGCAGTGCTGCACGAAGTCGACGAACATCTTGAAACGAGTACGAGGAAGATCGCTAGACACTTAAATATTTGCCATCAAATTGTTTGGAAAATTTTAGTAGATTTCACTGGACAACAAATTTTAGTTTTTTAATTGTATCTTGTGGGAAAAGTGCACTTCTTTGTTAATTTTGGGGCGCTGAATCCAAAAATGTCAATGAAATAAAAAAAATAGTTGCGGTTTAGAAAAAAAACTTTTTATTTTTTAGGATATATTAAAAAAAGATTCATATACTTATAAGAATCACTATATGCGCTGTCTTTTTGCTGTTCTTTTATGGATCGTTTCTGGAGCATCTCTACCAAGAGTCCAACAGTAGTCTGCAAGCTTGGAAGGATTCCACTTTCCCTGGTACCTTTTTTCCATTGTTGAAATATCCTGATGAAAACGTTCGCCGTGCTCATCACTTACGGCTCCGCAATTGTCAGGAAAAAAGTCCAGGTGTGAGTGTAGGAAATGTATCTTAAGAGACATATTACAGCCCATCTTTTGATACGATGACAGCATATTTTTGACAAGGGTTTTATAGTTGTCAGCTTTTCTATTTCCCAAGAAATTAGTGACCACCAGACGGAAATCATTCCAAGCAGTTTTTTCAATACCTGTTAAAGTGTTTTCAAACTGTGTATCTTTCAAAATATTTCGAATCTGTGGCCCAACAAAAATACCTTCTTTAACCTTTGCCTCAGTTAGTCTTGGAAATTTCTGACGCAGGTATTGAAAAGCTGACCCATCTCTATCTAATGCCTTGACAAAGTTTTTCATTAGGCCCAACTTGATATGCAGTGGTGGTGATAAAATTTTTTTCGAACCTACTAATGGCATATGCTGTACATTTTTTTGACCTGGCTCTAGGAATTGACGAACAGGCCAGTTTTGTCTGGTGTAATGAAGTGCCTTTGCCCGACTGTCCCATTCACACAAAAAACAGCAAAACTTTGTGTAGCCTAGCTGCAGCCCAAGTAAAAGTGCAACAACTTTCAAATCGCCACAAATATGCCATTGGTGCTCATCGTATTTTATGCATGTCAATAGGTACTTCATATTGTCATATGATTCTTTTGTGTGAACTGCATACCCTACAGGAAGAGATGGTAAAATATTTCCAATATGCAATAACACTGCCTTTAAACTCAATGTTGAACTGTCTATAAACAATCTCCATTCTTCTGGGTTATAGTTTATATTTAAAGCCGACAGTAAGCCGTTAATGTTACTGCAGAAAACCAAGTTATTCTCCATATTGAAAAATGGTTCTAAGTCTTTGTGGCGTTTACGAAAAACACATACCGAAACATCGTCTTCTAACAAGTTCCACTGCTGCAGACTTGATCCAAGTAACTCTGCCTTACATTTTGGAAGTTCTAAATCTCTTACAAGATCATTTAATTCTGACTGTGTTATTTTGTGCGGTTGTTGGCATGACGTGCTCGGTATAAAATCAGGATCTCTTGACGTTGATGGCATATTTTCTTCCTGACGAATCACTCGATCGCCATGATCTGATTCGTTTTCTGATTCGCAAGTGTAGGATTCTGGGGGTTTTGGAATAGGATTTTCGTCACTGTGAGGCACAGGTCTCATCGCAGATGGTGTATGTTTGGGTAGTTAATAACCGATTTTTTTTTCTTGGACATACCTGTGGCTTGTCCAACACAAGGTACCATGCAAAAGTAACAATCATTAATATGATTTGTAGGCTCTCTCCAAACCATTGGGACAGCAAAGCGCATAGACCGTTTTTTGCCATTTAACCAGCTCCTCAGACTTGAAGCACATGTATTACAGCACATGTGGGGTGCCCACTGTTTGTCTTGATCACCTAGTTTACAACCGAAATAAAGCTGATATGCCTTTGTTATTAGTGGAGTAATTGACCGTCTCTGAGACGCAAAAGTCACATCACCACACACGCAACAAAACTGAACTGGATTGTTTACACACTTTCGAGACATCTTGCATGAACGCTGTCAGCCAACTGAGGAAAAAATGGCTAATATAAAACAATATAATGTACACGTATGTATAAGGTAACACAATCATGCTGATTACATCATCTTTCCTTGCCGAATATAAAAATGTAGCACGTGCATTCTTGTGAATTACAGTATATTAACACTGTCACAGCAGGAACACATATAATTACCGTATCTCTAAAACTTGAACTAATATTGAAAAAATATGTTTCATTCCGGTTTTAGCACATTAAAAATAGTAATATTTTGTTGATTTTATTTAGGATATTCTTTGGCTGTTGATCAGTGTTTTTTGTCATATCCTAACCATATTTTAAGAGTACAGGCATCACTTCCCATTGATTTTCCAAGGCTTGTGAGCTTATGTCAGTGGTGTCTTCAAAAAATTACACAAAATCCGCAATTCGTATCAACGATTCTGTTCACGGACGAGGCTAATTTTTCTCGAAGTGCCATTCAGAATTTCCACAATAATCACTTGTAGGCAGAAGAAAATCCCTATGCCGTAAGCGAAACCCATTTCCAACACCAATTTTAACGTATGGGCAGGAATTATTGGCAACCACTTTATTGGCCCATTCTTCTTGCCGAGACGTCTTGACGGACAGACTTATCTCAATTTTCTTCAACAACAGTTGCCTTTGCTGCTTGATGATGTCCGTTAGTATTAAGAAACAGTATGTGGTACATGCATGATGGTGCCCCAGCCCATTTCAGTGTAGCGGTTCGTAATTGTTTACAAACTGTTTATCCAAATCGTTGGATTGCCCGCGGTGGGCCCCAAGACTGGCCACCAAGGTTCCCAGACCTCAACAGTTTAGCTATCTTGAGACACTAGTGTACACAAGTCCCATTACCACTGTAGAGGGATTAAGATAAAGAATATTTGCAGCTTGTGATAGAATAAAAAACACTCAGGGATATTTCGACGAGTGCGCAATTCCATGAGAAGGAGGGTGTTGGGGGTATATTGTCAGTTGTTGTTCATTGCCCCTAATGTGTTTAGTTTTTCCAATTAAATTAATAATAATTTTGCAAGTTTGACAATAGAACGGTTTTTATTTTTTTACCCAAAAATGGCGCATCGAAGGAAAACAATTCAAGAAAGATTTTGAATTGAACTGGGAATTGAAAAATATATTTTTTATTTGGCAAAAAACCATTGGCGTACCATTTTTTTCTTAAAAAGTATCGAATTCAATACCCGTACGCACGCCACTGTTTAAGCTGAAAATTATTTTTGCATTGAAAAATATGCAACTTCATTAACTTTCACTAGGTACTAAATATCAGTGAAATATCTGAAGCGGTTCTGAAAATATTAATTAATTTCCATTTTTTTCCTAAAACTTCTACACCCCTAGTTTGTATAAGGAAACATTTTTGGACCATAGTTTATGAGGCAAACTAACATTAGTTTTTCATGTAGATTTACAACCTTAAATATTCGCATGTCATTAAGGAACATCCTTTCAGTGATATTAGAAGTGTTACACCCAGAAAAAATAGTTCTTTCAACTTGATTTTTTGGCAGTGAAGTATTCTTACATCAAGAATCAGACGATAATATTCTCACGGAATTTGATTGACAAGTAATAAGAAAAAAACATAATGTGTTGGTCAACCCCGCAGCTGAATTCACTCCTGTATACGTCTAGGCATCGATAAAAGAAGATGATCGATGTCTCAGCTCTCAGAAATTGCTTTCTACACGAAAACTAAGAGATATCATGTTATCAAAGGTAAACAAAAACAAAGATAGAACGTTGACATTGCTGCCACAGCATCCTTTAAGTATAGTCATTTTGTTGCCAAAAAAATAAGTTGAAGAACTTATTTTTTCTGGGTGTAGCACTTCTAATGTCGCTCAGTATAATTTTAACACAGGTATTGAACACTATGAAAGTAGGGAAATGCCGAGAGCTGGCCGCCTGGCTGGTGAGATCAGTCATAGCAACGTTCGGTACTGTCGGTAGGGCAAGGGAGAGATTCCTAGATCACAGCATTGTCAAATCTTTTATAAACTGATACATAAACATCCTTCAAATGTTCATGTTTCAACGATGAAAGCCAAGGACGTGTATACGGGCTGAAGAACTCATTCGTAAGAAGATACTTTGAAAATCGATCAAGGTATTCATTTATTCCTGATAAACTAACCGCTTGAAGACGCTTACATTCCACTAACCCTAAATACATCTTCGTCGCTTTGATGACAACACACATCGTGTAGAAGGAGCACACAATGTGCGCCATGCTTCCGGATTGAATTTGGAAAAGGGCAGCCAGGCTTGACTTAGATAACGGTGCGCGTCTGCCGAGACGAGGTTGATTTTCAATTCGAGGGTAATTAAGCTCGTGTACATGGCAGAATGGGGGTAACAGTGGATGCAATCTACAGCGGCGGAGAATTGACGGGGTGGATAAGGGTGTCTAAAAAGGTACTGCTGGATTTAAATTTGATATAATTTTTTAATAACTTGACTAAGACATACTATAATTTGCGTGTGTTAACGCGGCTCCCACGATCAAGAGGGCCATGTTCTGAGATAACGGGGGGGATGAAAAGGCAACGTGAGTGGGCTGGTCTTAGACGGTCGTCGGCGCTACTTTAAAAAAGAAAAGGATGACTGCGTGCGAGTATTTTTCCGATTTTACGAGGGATGTCTTTTAAGTTTTGCATATGGAAATAAAACAACACGGTAGGTAGTTTTAAATGACTTTATTGTTTTTCGAAGTATTCTCCACGAAGATTAAAGCATATCTGCATGCGTTCGAACCAATTTTCGAACCACTTATTCCACTCGTTTGCTGGCAGATCCCAAACGACATTTTTGAATGCGTCAACTGCTTCTTCTGGTGACTGGAACCTTTGAACACGCAGTCTGTTTTTAATTTTCGGGAAAGTAAAGAAATCGTTAGGACTTAGATCGGGACTGTATGGAGGATGGTCCAGTAATTCCACGTTTTCTTCCGTTAGATACTGTAAATCCACGATTCATCATCACTAACACATTTTTTGAGTTCCCGGAATTAAAACGGTCAAGCGTTTTTTGACACCAATTGCTTTCTGATCTTCAGTCAACAGGTGGTGTATCCAACGAGATACTAATTTTCTTACTCCTACTTCTTCATGTAAAATTTTTTGAATTGAGGTCTTTGAGATCTTCAAGAACTCCTCAATCTCGCGATATGTCACAAGTCTCTCTTCAATGATGAGTTTGCGCACAGCATCGACGTTTTCTTGGGTGACTGCCGGTTTTGGTCCACCCACCCTAGGATCGTCGCTAGGACTCACCCGTCCACGTTTGAATTCTCCATACCAACGGAAAATTGTCGACTGATGTGGTGCTTCGTTGCCGAAAACAGACAGTAACTCAGCAAGGCATTCTTGTTGCGATAACACTGATCAACAGCCAAAAAATATCCTAAATAAAATCAACAAAATATTACTATTTTTAGTGTGCTAAAACCGGAATGAAACTTATTTTTTCAATATTAGTTCAAGTTTTAGAGACACGGTAATTATATGTGTTCCTGCTGTGACAGTGTTAATATACTGTAATTCACAAGAATGCACGTGCTACATTTTTATATTCGACAAGGAAAGATGATGTAATCTGCATGATTGTGTTACGTTATACATACGTGTACATTATATTGTTTTATATTAGCCATTTTTTCCTCAGTTGGCTGACAGCGTTCATGCAAGATGTCTCGAAAGTGTGTAAACAATCCAGATCAGTTTTGTTACGTGTGTGGTGATGTGACTTTTGCGTCTCAGAGACGGTCTATTACTCCACTAATAACAAAGGCATATCAGCTTTATTTCGGTTGTAAACTAGGTGATCAAGACAAATAGTGGGCACCCCACATCTGCTGTAATGCATGTGCTTCAAGTCTGAGGAGCTGGTTAAATGGCAAAAAACGGTCTATGCGCTTTGCTGTCCCAATGGTTTGGAGAGAGCCTACAAATCATATTAATGATTGTTACTTTTGCATGGTACCTTGTGTTGGACAAGCCACAGGTATGTCCAAGAAAAAAAAATTGGTTATTAACTACCCAAACATACCATCTGCGATGAGACCTGTGCCTCACAGTGACGAAAATCCTATTCCAAAACCCCCAAAATCCTACACTTGCGAATCAGAAAACGAATCAGATCATGGCGATCGAGTGATTCGTCAGGAAGAAGATATGCCATCAATGTCAAGAGATCCTGATTTCATACCGAGCACGTCATGCCACCAACCGCACAAAATAACACAGTCAGAATTAAATGATCTTGTAAGAGATTTAGAAGTTCCAAAATGTAAGGCAGAGTTACTTGGATCAAGACTGCAGCAGTGGAACTTGTTAGAAGACGATGTTTCGGTATGTGTTTTTCGTAAACGCCACAAAGACTTAGAACCATTTTACAAAATGGAGAATGACTTGGTTTTCCGCAGTAACATTAACGGCTTACTGGCGGCTTTAAATATAAACTATAACCTAGAAGAATGGAGATTGTTTATAGACAGTTCCACATTGAGTTTAAAGGCAGTGTTATTGCATATTGGAAATATTTTACCATCTCTTCCTGTAGGGTATGCAGTTCACACGAAAGAATCATATGACAATATGAAGTACCTATTGACATGCATAAAATACGATGAGCACCAATGGCATATTTGTGGCGATTTGAAAGTTGTTGCACTTTTACTTGGGCTGCAGCTAGGCTACACAAAGTTTTGCTGTTTTTTGTGTGAATGGGACAGTCGGGCAAAGGCACTTCATTACACCAGACAAAACTGGCCTGTTCGTCAATTCCTAGAGCCAGGTCAAAAAAATTTACAGCATATGCCATTAGTAGATTCGAAAAGAAATTTATTACCACCACTGCATATCAAGTTGGGCCTAATGAAAAACTTTGTCAAGGCATTAGATAGAGGATGGGTCAGCTTTTCAATACCTGCGTCAGAAATTTCCAAGACTAAGTGAGGCAAAGGTTAAAGAAGGTATTTTTGTTGGGCCACAGATTCGAAATATTTTGAAAGATACACAGTTTGAAAACACTTTAACAGGTATTGAAAAAACTGCTTGGAATGATTTCCGTCTGGTGGTCACTAATTTCTTGGGAAATAGAAAAGCTGAGAACTATAAAACCCTATCAGAAATGTGCTGTCATCATATCAAAAGATGGGCTGTAATATGTCTCTTAAGATACATTTCCTACACTCACACCTGGACTTTTTTCCTGACAATTGCGGAGCCGTAAGTGATGAGCACGGCGAACGTTTTCATCAGGATATTTCAACAATGGAAAAAAGGTACCAGGGAAAGTGGAATCCTTCCATGCTTGCAGACTACTGTTGGACTCTTGGTAGAGATGCTCCAGAAACGATCCATAAAAGAACAGCAAAAAGACAGCGCATATAGTGATTCTTATAAGTATAGTATATGAATCTTGTTACTTTTTTTAATATATCCTTAAAAATACAAAGTTTTTTTTCTAAACCGCAACTAATTTTTTTATTTCATTGTCATTTTTGGATTCAGCGCCCCAAAATTAACAAAGAAGTGCACTTTTCCCACAAGGTACAACTAAAAAACTAAAATTTGTTGTCCAGTGATTATTGTATCTGAAAGTTGTAATAAATTATGGCGCGAAAATGTTCTCGGTTGAGTTCCATTTTTCTAATGACTTGGTGACACTTCAAAATTCACTGTAGTGAGAGTGTATTGTGAAACTTTGAATTTAAGTTTACTAAAGAGTGAGGTTAAGATTCAGTAATGACGTTCGATCCGCACGGCCTACTATGTTTCTATATGCAAAACTTAAAAGACATCCCTCGTATTCTTCGCTGCTGCAGTCAGATTTTTTCAAATCGTCGGATTTTGGTCTCTCAAATTTCCTGTAATTACTGGGATCTTAATATACTAAATGACATAGAAAATGCAACACCGACTAGGAGTGCTGTAATTTTGACCATACTTTCACAAGTTTTAGGTCTATTGATAAATAGAAAATTTGAAATTTTAACTCAAAATTTCGCAAAATAGCTGAGTTATCCCAACTTACATTCGATTAAAACTAGGTCCGACCGACTTGATCCCGGCTACCCCTAAGTCTAGCCAATTCTTAGTGGTTAAAACTAGATGTAAGAGGTCAAGGAAAACAGTTTTTGTATTATCTAATGAACAAATTTCTGTTACCATCATTATTATTTCCTGAAACAGATTGCGTTACAACTTATAGAATATTGCGCTATATAATAATAATAATAATAATGCCTTTATTAACTGCAGTGAGGCGAAGTTTAGCCAGACGGCTACTCTTACACTCAACCCCACAACAGGAAAAAAGAATACTTACACACATAAATAATAACGTACCAAAAAAAAATACAATTCATAAGAATGACAACAATGATTGCACGAGATAAATGCAGATAGCATTGCGAGAGTTTTAAATTTGAAACAAAAATAGTAGAAAATAGTCAAACAAAAAAAAATCACATGAGCACAAGAAAAACTGAACTAAATGGACTCCAGCAGCTGACTTTTCATTAATTTCTTAAAAGAAACAACCTGTTTGGATCGATAGCCACTGTTGACTGCATTGTAATGCTTGACAGCATTATAGGTGTAACTTCTTTCAAAGACCGAGGTATTGTGAGGAGGCATGTTAAAATTAGCATTAAATCTTAGAGCTCTGGTAACAAAACTACCTCGGTGAACTAATTTGCTAGCGAGGTAAGCTGGTCTGTTAGATAGTAGAACTTTATGCGTGAAGACGGCCAAAAGATATAAAAATAACTTATCAATTCGCAACCAGTTGAGTTCTTTGATTTTATCTGAGACGCGACTAAACTTGCGCAATCCAAAAATAAACCTACAACAGCTGTTCTGAATTTTCTGGAGTTTCCTTTTGTGGACGTAGTCTAAACATGGGTAATACAGAACAAGAGAGTAGGAAATGACAGACAACACAAGACTTTCAGCAAGCTTTTTTCGGGTTTTAAAATTCAAGATGTATCGATTAGAATAGAGGAGTTTCAAACGCAAATACGTTACTCTAGATAAGAAAGAGACATGCCGATCGAATCTCATATTTAAGTCAAGGGTAACACCGAGATTCTTGGCGTAATCCACAAAAGGGATGAGTGTCTCATCCAAAAAAACACAAATCCTCTGCTTCATTTCACGGTAGGAGTTCTTCGAACAGTACAACATTGCAGTAGTTTTATTAGGATTGATCTTCAAGCAGTGTTTATTACAGTAATCACCGATGTTAGTCAAATCTAAATTAACTTTAAAAAAACTTCATCAACCTTTGATGGATCGAAACGAAACACTAACTGAGTATCATCTGCATAACTTTGCATACTACAGTGGACTAAACAGTCTTGCAGATCGATCGTATAAATCAGATATAGTAAGGGACCTAATACTGAGCCCTGAGGAACTCCTGAAGGAACTGGCTCAGAGGAGGAAATTCCCTGGTCAGTTTTCACTGTTTGTTGACGATTTAGCAAGTATGACTCAAAGAAACTTAAAACTATATCTGACATTCCATAATGAGATAACTTACTCAGTAGTATCTGGTGATTGACCATATCACAGGCTTTCGAGAAATCTAACAGTACCAAGACGGTGTTGATGTGATTATCTAAATTGTGAATGATGGAATCAGTAAGATGTAATAAAGACGAAGTAGTGCTGTAACCAGCTCTGAAACCTGACTGATGTAGAGGAAATAAGTGGTTTTGTTCGAAAAACTCCACTAGTTGTGAGTAGACAGGTCTTTCGAGTATTTTTGATAGAAAGCATAATAAGGTAATTGGCCTGAGATCCGAATATTGTTCTGGATGATTAGTTTTAGCTATTGGAATAATAATACCATTTTTCCAACTGGCAGGAAAGTAACCTGTTTCGAGACAGACATTAATAATGTGAGTTATATGGTCTATGGTATCGGGTAAACATA